TTTTGATTAAAAATTGACGATACGCTGGCCTAATGTCATATTGTAAATCCGCCTTTAGATGCTGAACTATCGGAGGAAGAAGAAGAGGAGGAGGAGGAGGAGGAGGAGGAGAGGGGAAAGAGGAGGTCCCCCTCACCCGAGAGGAGATCAAGATCAGCTTCACCTCACGTCAGATCAAGAAGGTATTACTGTATCATGGAACTACCACACGACCTTATTAGGAAAGGGCCTTCATCACTATTAATAATACATATACCTTTACTTACAGTTCAGTATTTATAGTTTCAGTGAATGTAGTGGGGGGTCTTTAAAATGTTAATTTAAATGTTGTTCTTGTTTTAGATGTAGCCGTAGCTATTCTCCTAGAAGGAGGCAGAGCTTATCAAGATCTTATACTCCTCCAGACAGACACAGATACAACAGAAGGTAAATTAATTAATATAATAATTATTTATTTATTTATTTTTTGTACCAGAGCCTCATGTTGCTGTCCTTCAGCTCACCGAGGTTAAAAGAATCTCAGGGGGCCCCCTGACTCATATTTCTACACTGATCCAAGGGGTCTGGTGTGGGACAGTAGATTGGGTCACTGGTCTAAGGATGAACTGGGGTCTAATCTCAGTGTAGTGAGACTGCACACTGGTAAGGAATATACCGTATAGGGGATGATACTTGTACATGGACATGTAGATAATCTGTGGAAAGCACATGTATTTGACAGATTATATATTTGTTCACTTGTTATTGAATCAATGCTACAGTTGGTTCTTAAAAGATGTACATGTACATCTACAACTTTATGCCTCTTTGGTGTTACTAATAAAAAAGTTGGTATTTTTGAAATGACTTTTATCTATACATTGCAAGTTCTTATGTTCAAACTTATGCTATGTCCTTATATTATTCACCTTTACACACTGGTAGTGTACATGTACATGTATAACTGGTTAATTGAAATTCATTTTGTACTATCATAACTTCCTTTAGTCACAAGATCTTTGAGTATATTTAAGGTATCGCCCACTTTTTGTGTCTAGTTGACCTTCTTTAGTCTTTCTCTCCTCCTTCCACCTTCTTCATTTTGTTTTGTTGTTTCATCTGGTCATTAGGACTCTCTCTCATCACTCATTCACTGCCTTCCCTTCTCCTCCTCTACTTTGTTTTACATTCTCATTCATTAATGTAAATTCACCTTTACTACTGGTTGTTATAATAAAGGAATGTACTATCATAACTTCCTGTAGTCACTGGACTGTAGCCAAGAAACTAAGCCAAAAGATCATTCCAACTTCTTCATTTTCTTATCGTTCTTTCTTGCTCTATCTTCATTTACCATCTTCTACCTTTATCTCTCTTCATTTTTCATTCTTGCTTTACGTACACAATTTTATTCTTTTCTTGAAATGGCAACCAAACCATCTTCATCTTCTTCTCCTAGTCTCCTCAAACTGGAGGAACAGCTCACCTGTCCTGTGTGTCTTGACCACTATACCAACCCTAAGACTTTACCTTGTCTACATTCATTCTGCCAGCACTGTCTGGAGGGATTAGCCCTGGATAAGAAGAATGAGACCTATTACCTCTCTTGTCCCACTTGTCGTCATTGTACAGAGTTACCAGAAGAAGGAGTAGGAGCCTTTCCTGTAGCATTCACTCTCAACAACCTCAAAGAGATATACAGTCTAATGAAGAAAGTAGCTGATCCTGAACAGGTCACCTGTGACAACTGTACTACAGCTAATGCCACTGGATACTGCAAAGACTGCAGTAAGTTCTTTTGTACAAAATGCGATGGAATACACAAGCAATGGGGCCCAACTTCTAACCATCAGCTAACAAGTCTTGATGAGATGACAGCCTCTGATGTCTCTTCTACTTCTCAATTGCTAGCTCCAGCTAAACAGGAGGCAACCCTCACTTGCTCTGTACCTGGTCATGAAGATTCATTGAGGTATTACTGTGACACATGTGATGAATCTATCTGTCGTGATTGTATCATGCTGGCTCATAAAGATCACAAGTATAACCTAATAGCTAAT